GTTAGTAAGCTCGAAATGAAAACTCTTTCAGAGCCCAGTGCTGATGTCGTTTTTATGCGGCTTACACGATGCGTATAACGCTTCACAAAGTCAGCATCTATCGACAACCAGTTGCAAAATTAGTTGACACAAGACACCACCATACGAGATAATCTTTCATAATGTGATCCTAATCACATTAAGCTGTGCACCTGTGAAATTTGGTGGACGGAACATTTTTCCTTATGTTTTTCCTCCCTGTTTTTTTTGTTTTGTTTTTGTTTTTGTTTTTTTTTTTAAGTTAGTTAGCTCGAAATGAAAACTCTTTCAGAGCCCAGTGCTGATGTCGTTTTTATGCGGCTTACACGATGCGTATAACGCTTCACAAAGTCAGCATCTACAACCAGTTGCAAAATGAGTTAACACATGTCACCACCAAACAAGATAATCGTTCATAATGTGATCCAATATGGTAGATCCCCTCATTCTCCCTTTGCAATATTGGTATAGTGGAACCTCGATTTAACGACTGCCAACGGGGACTGGGGAAATTGGTTCGTTATATCAAAGCTTCGTTATATCGAAGCTTCGTTATATCGAGGTTCTGTGGCATACATTTTACTCGGTAACTCTAGCCGGGCTGAGACTGAAGTATCGTTCGTTATACCGAGGACTTCGTTGTTAAGAGGTTCGTTAAACCGAGGTTCTACTGTAGCTAGCCAGTATCATGTACTTAACTTCGATGAACTAAATTAAAGGTTTCAAACCAGAAATTATCTGCACTAAATTACTTCTTGGCTATCTGATAAGTAGGGAAATGCACTCTTTGCTCACGGTGTCTCAACATTTCTGTTACTGGTTGCAGACATAATTTGTCTGGATGCCCGGGTTACTGTCAGGATTCGTGAATTCGTTCCGAGGGTCCTTTGTTTCCCTCCCGTTACTTTGCGCTAAAGTTTTACAATTGCCGTTGGTGGAATATTCATTTCATCGCTAGATATAATCATAGATTATTTGGAAGCGTTTAATTCCTCAAATAACAGCTAATTTCCCTCAATTCCATTGTTCTTCTTGACCGAAATTGACGAAATTTACCTCTAAGTCAGTGTATGTTTGGGGCTCGCGTTGTCGATAACCGCACCCCCACTGGTATAATGAAAAGATGGAGTCCCTTGAGAAATATGTTCTCTCGGAATTTCCCTGTTTCATTGCTTGCAAATAAAGCTCTTCTTTATTGACTGTACTTGATTAGACTGCGATTCAGGTCTCGGGCGGTACTCAAGACAGAGAGCACAGTTTTTCCCAAAACGGACCGACCATGGTAAATAACATTTTTTTTCCCACACTTGTCGAAATGCTTGCCAAAAGAACCCGAATAATGAAGGGCTACAATTACGAGTTAAACTTTGGGAAGATCCTCCATACACTGGACAATTTTTTAGCGAGTTGATGATAAAGAAAACAGAGGTTATTCAATTAAAAGAGACAGGCTTCACCAAAATATTTTCATTTATATAATGGTAAAGATGACTTAAAAGGCTTCTAAACAAACTTTGAAACATTTATTCCTATGTATCTGTCACGATCTGACAACTGTCAATTGGAGAGGAAAAAAAGCGCACGTACACTTCTAAATGAACAGCAGTACTGGTATCTACTGGTATAGCAAACACACACGAGTTCAATGACCATATCGACGCTCTACCGTAAAGAACACTCAGATATCTTGCAGAAGGTATTGTTGGTTCACTTCCTTGAAGAAGATTAATCAGCAAAGATTTATCTCTGTTCAGTGTTAAATATCATGGAAAGTTAAATTATAAGTGAATTAAAATGTGTGTTTTGGAGGTGTGAGAGTCTGCTTTTTTTTTTCTGCAATGGCGTGTGCAAATCTTGTCTTTCTTCCACAGGAAAACTGAAGTCGCATGAGACTCTTTTTTTAGCTAGACACATGCATGGGAATTTATTGTGACACTTACTGAATGCCTCCGGTTACTTTTATGAAATTTATGGCGTCCAAATTCAAAGGACTTGCAAAGAATATGCGAAAGTATTTATGGAAGATCTCAAAATTTCGTTCGACGTTTCACAAGAGAACAAATTGTTTTGGAGAATTCAGATATTAAATTAATGAGTCACTGACATTGATTAACATTTGGCAGCAATCGAGTGCACACGCTTAATGTAAACAAACACAGTGCTTTTGAAGATCTGCCATAAATAGATCTGCCATAAATCTGCCAGTGACTGATCTGAAGCAGCTGTGTCTTTTTTGCTCGCATGAGTCTTTATTTTTTTTTTATTATTTTTTTTTTTTGGCGTTGACGCCTGACGGACGGTTAATTGCCTCTCACTTCAGATTTAGTCTCAATATTCAAACAATTGTTTCCGCCGATTCCGAATGTTTTTTTTTTTTCTTGCTTCGGACTATATTTTTATCGCCGCCCACAAAGTCGACTAATGTTTTTAAATCAAATGAAGGAGCCAACGCAACAATAGACTGTTATTAAAAGTGTAACAACAAATCAATAAATGACCCGTACAGCTCGAAAAGCCGCACATGTACGCATCGCAGACCGAATTTAATTGTGTTCCTCTATAGCTTTCAAAAGGTATACAATATATAAACACAGACTGAGTTTGCATTTATGGATTTTCAAAAACTGCCGTTTGCTCTAGGGCGTAAGGGGCAAATATATCTAAAATCAATCTAGCGTTTGAGTAAACTTACCGCTAATTTCTTCTGTTTCAATTTCAGATACCGCGGCTTGTGTACCCAGAGCACTGTCACTCGCCTCAGCCGTCAGACTACGAGTTTCATGAACATCTTCTAGATACTTCTGTACTAGGGCAAGCTTCTCCATATCCATTGGCTCGACCTTACTGGGTTGCCACAATCGATGCTCTTCGAGTCTTTCCTCAGTTCCTCTATTTTCTTGTGCTTTGGTCTCTAAGAAAGAATTACACTCGTATTCTTCTATTTACTTCAGATCAATTTTAAGCTTTCAGGTAAGCTGTGATGTGTATTCATGCACTATTTGCATGGTTACCTTCAGGCTCGTCGGATATTTCCCTGATTATGGTTCGCTGCCTCTTAGGAGTATGATCTCCAAAGACCTTCAGGGAAACTTCTTCAATTTCTTTCTCTATAACTGCCATTCTCTGATTAAAAGCAGTCTGGATGCGTTTTATCTTTAACATTGACAGTTCCTCCTTGAGGCTAGGATATAGAACTGAATCAGAGTTTCTCCGAATTCGCTCCTCTCGTCCAGTGAGTTCAACTTCTACAACACAGAACAAAACAAAACAGACAAAAAAGCTAACCAAAAGAAAGAAAAGAACTAGTGTTTGCGAAGACAATGACAGCATGCTAAATCCTACTTAGTGTTATGATTGGAGGGTGACAGAGTTGGTGAAAGCGATCAAAGAATTCTCCTCAGAAAAGGTGGTTTTTTTTGGCTAACTTCTCAAAAGTAGTTTCCTCTGAGTCAAAATCAGCGTCAAGATTGGCAGATGCTGAGATTTCACTTAAATTTTCACTTAGAGCGGTGCTTTCAGCCTGAAAAAAGTCACATGTTAAGCAGCGCCAGTCGAAAGAGGCACCGGTTTTAACAGCGTTGCGGTAATCTGCCTGCAACACACCTTTATGGCAGGTGCGGTGTTGCCAACG